TTTCTTTCTTTCTTTCTTTCTTTCTTTCTTTCCCTCTCTCTCTCTCTCTCTCTCTCTTTCTCTCTTTCTCTCTTTCTCTCTCTCCCCCTCTCCCTCTCCCTCTCCCTCTCCGCGGGCGGTGGCGGCGGCGGGAAGAGCCAAGCCCCGAAAAGGGACGCCGACTTCCCCGGGAAAGAGGGAAAACGAGGCTCTCCTTGGAGGGCTTTCTAAAAAGTGCTTTTCCCTTCTTTGCTCAGCTGCAAGAAACCCGAGCAGTGCGCTGGGGGTCCAATCAGGGCCTCCTCCTTTTGAAGTATTGCCGTTTATAAAATGAAATAGGGTTGCGCGTTTCTTCCCCTCTAGAGAATGAGACGCTCCAAAGCCTCCCCCCCCCCCCCTCCCCTTCCCTCTTTTCTCCCCTTTTCTCCTCCTTCCCCCCCCCCCCCCCGCTTCTCCTCCTTGGCAGGCACTTTCTGTCCATCCTAGCCCTGCCATCACCTCCTCTATTTCATATTGATCAAGGGAATCTCTTACTCTCCTCCAGTATAAAGGCAGCACGTGTGCAGGTAACTTGCTCTGGAGCAGATTCAGTGGCTGCTGGACTGAAGTCTGGGAAGAAGGTCCTCTCCTTCTGAGGAGCGCTTGTCCCAGAGCCGTCCACGTGGAAACCGGTTTCTCAAAGCTCAGAGTCAAAGCAGGCTTTGCCTGAATAGCATGATAGTTAATTCAGTTACTTGATTCCTGGACAACAGCTCTATTTAATTATCCGTCTCCTGGTGAAGCTGATGCCTTGCAATAAAGGTGAACCAGTTACTGAAGTCACTTATTTGGTTGTGCTTAAATAAGGAAGTCTTGGCTTCTTCACTCCCAACAATTCTCTTTATGTTTGGAAAGGTGTATGTCTTTATGTCCTGGTTCTGCTGAGAGACAAAGCCTTACCACCCAAAAATGACTGCTAAAGGCATTTCTTTACAATGTTTTCCTCATTCCAGGTCATTGGCTATGAATCCAATCCAGAGACCTGAGATGTACATCATTGGAGCCCAACCAGTGTGTAGCCAACTACCAGGGCTATCCCCAGGCCAGAGAAAGTTGTGCCAACTGTACCAAGAACACATGATGTACATTGGTGAGGGGGCTAAGAACGCCATCAAAGAGTGCCAGTTCCAGTTCAGGCAGAGGCGATGGAACTGCAGCACAGTGGACAACACGTCTGTCTTTGGCAGGGTCATGAGCATCGGTAAGTGAAGGAAAAGATGGGGAGGCGAAGGGCAGTGACGGTCGTTCATTCAGAGGATCATGGAAGGTCTGCCTGAAGGCAGAGGGGATGGGATGGCTTGGGAGGCATAGAGGACAAAGCCAGAAGGACGTAGAACTGTAAAGACAAAAAGGATCAGAACAAGTCCTGGTTGGGAAACATTTTAGAGGGAAGCAGCAAAGATAGATGGAGGGCACCCAGATCAGCGGCAGTTTGGGGATACTTGGCCATGATGAAAAGAGAGTCAGGAGAATAAACTGTACACAGATAAGAAGTGGATTGCAAGTGGCATGAATGTTGCATAAGAGCATGAAGATTCAAAAATCAAGGGAAAGCCAGTTTGGATGAAAGAGGTTTCTGGAGAAGGGACTAGGGAAATAGACAGTGCCAGGATGAAGTGGGTAATTTGGGTGGCATTGGTGTGAAAAAAGAGCAGCTGTCAAGGGAGAGGTGGTATAAATAGTGGTAGAGACAGAAAACCTGCATAGGAGTAAGGGACTAGATTTTCATGCAGAGCTTGAATGTATGAGACGTATCAAAGAGAACAATCATGGGGATAGATAAATTAATCCCTAATTAAATTCTGCAGTGCCAAATTGAACTGTTGTTTCATCAGAGTCTCAGACTTTGCTTGCTGTTCTCCAGATGTGTTGGATGGCAACCCCCAAGCAGGGAGTGTGTGTGTCTATGGTGCCATTGTAGTCAACACAGCTGTAAAATATGTATAAAAGATACAGTTTTAAAAAATTACTGCTTAACCACCTTGTTAGATGCAAGAATGAATGAACTATTTGTTATCTCCTGCTGGCCAGCATGCTATGTACTATGAGTGTTGAAGGGTTGGTTTTTTTTTTTTTTTGATAAGTAACTATTTTGTTTGAAATGACTTAAAAACTTGCATTCTCAGTTCTTTCAGTTGTGTAGAACAGCTACTTTTGCTTTCTGTCAAATAAAGAGTCTTGTTCCAATAGAAGTGAACCAAGCTCAGAGAGCACCAAGGACTCCAAAGAGTCTTGTGAAACTCAAAGGATGGTAGGAAAAGCTCTAGTAAGAATGAAGTCTGCTAACCTGGGACTTCTAATGATAGCATACATATTGCTGGAAAAAATGCACGGTTGTATCTTGAGAGCAACTTGAGGGCACCTTTTTATCTTTATCAGCATGATGCATTTATTTGCTTATACAGTATCTGTGTCACTTTTCATGACTGCAGTCTTCCCATTCTGAGAAATGTCCTTATCAGACATCCCTATATTGTTTGTTATCTTGAAGAGTTCTTAGAATATATTAATCACTGAGTAATTAAAAGTTTATTACTGCTTTTTAAAATGAGATGTGTTTGAGAGCATACTGATGGAGGCATATTGATTCTTTTTGATTTCTAGATGTGTAGCGAAAGTGCACTTTGCACTTGTTCAGATGTACACTGTTGCTGGAGTATTCCAACGCTTAGCCGTGGTATTAAAATTTGCTTCCACAGTTAGGATCTGACTCTAAGACATTTTTATTCAGCATAAATTTAAAAAACTCACAGAAAGGGAGCTTCAGAAATTCCTTAGGCTTCTTCTTCTGTGATTCTGCCTGAAGGATAAACACCTGGAGGCAACAGGTTGAACGAAAGAAAAAGAAGGAAGTTGCAATGGGAAAGCAGCATGTGGAGTAAAAGCATTAAGCTAACATATATGGGCATACTACTCCATTTTTCCATAATAAAAACTGGCATTAAGGAATCTCCTTGTTCCCAGCATTATCTCTGGTGTGCAGGTAAAGTGAAGTATGGGGTCGTCAGACTTTGAAAGAAAGGTTGGCATCAGAGTGTCATGGAAGAGTGTACTTTGAGTGGCTAAGTCATTTTCTCCAACCTGTAAGCCCTTCAGACAAGTGGACCTCAATTAGCAGAATTTCCAGCCAGCAGGGCCATTGCTGAGCGTCCTGGGAGTTGTCTGTGTATCAGGAGGAGAAGGCTCAGCTCTGAGAAGTCCTGCTCTGGCAAATTAGGAACTAGGAAAAAAAAAGAGTGACAAAGTGCAATGCCCAGGAATGAAGTTGGTAACCCTAACCCTTTTCTGGACTCTCTTCTTTAATTTTCTTCCCCTCTACTGCTAGGGTGGTTAATCTAGCCAAGAAGCCAATCACAATCTCAACTGGGAATCTGCCTTGTTGAGAAATACCACTTTGAAAAGCCTTCTGCTTAACCCACCTTTTCCTCTTCCCTTTCCAACCTGGAACATACCCTGGTTTGCCGCACTTGGCAGGAAGGAGAGGAGCCCCAATAACCACTTTGCTATTTGCTTTCTCCCTGTTGGTGCACCTCCAGGAAAGACAGCAGGAAGCCTAGCCCTATCCACCACCTTGAGACTTCCCTGGGGTGCCATCTGCTAAGTGGCAAAAGACCCTCATTGACAGGTCATTGCAGTATTTGAATTGAGGTGTGAGCTGGATATATTGTTCCCTGTCCTTTTGAAATGCAGCTCTCCACTGGTCAGAAATGGAGGAATCCGGGCTGAGGTTTGATGTGTAAGGATAATAAAAACAAGGTGTTAAAAATGCAGTTCCCTCCCTTCCACAGCTTCTCAAAGTAGAAGCTCCTTCATGGATTCCCTCAGAAATTCACTTCATTATTCAGGAAGTATCTCAATATACAATTGTTATTGTATCTCCGTTTGATTAATGGTAACTCGTTACTCGATCCAGAGCCAGCCCTAATGTTAGGCAGGAAAAGGTAGCTACCCAAAGCAGCAGATATGGAGCATGATTAAAGATCAGCAAATAGATATACTTTTACATTTATTATTTTTGCATTGTTATCCCAAGGATATACATTGTTATTATAAGGATATAAAGGATATAAAGAATACAACTTTGGATATTCAGTATGCACTTTGGCTTTGTGTTTGGGGTGTATGTGTGTGTGTGGTGTGTTGTGTGTGTAGGAGGACATCTTAAGACAATTGCAATGTTGTTTATATTGTGAGTTGTAAATGATTAGAGCTGTTGTAGAATGGATTAAGTTACAATGCTAAGTATAGCTACTAAGAAGTAAACTTAAGTAAATGCAGTGGGATTCGCATTTGATTAGACAAGTTTAGGACTTAACAAGGGACATTAAATGTATCCTTCCCATATGGGTAATTTGAATTCAAAACTTCCTATGTGTAGAATGTAGATAACACTGAAAAATGACCCTTTTCCATGGCCTATCCTGCCATAAAAACATTCACAAGTGAATGTTATGTATGTTTTATTTGGAAGTAAATTCCACTGCACTTAGTCAGTGCAACCTAAAAGATGGAGTGGTAAAAGGGTGGCATTTCCTTAGGGTCTATTAGGGGCTGTAGGCTGATGGTGGGCAGAGTTAACACCAGTAGCAGGTGAAACCAGAGCTAAAAGAAGATGAGCCCACCATATGTTTTTTTTTCTTTCCTGCTCATCACGCTGCCAAGTAGGGATCAGATTGTTCCTGGTGGAGGGCTGAACTCAGTGTACCACGTGGTTTAGCAGGGATCCCCAAACTCTTCAGCTCATCGACCCCTTCATGAAGTTTCAGATTGTTCATCGACCACCAAACATTTATTATATGAATATAATTTAATAAATATTACTTTAACTAAAAGTACTGCGAATAACCACACAACAACAATGAATAGTCCCATCGACCCTTGGGGGTCAATATTGACCACTTTGTAGAACCCTGGTTTAGAGCTTGGGCTGAAGGCCACAGAAAATTAGGCTGAGGTGTACAGTGCAGTGTGTTGGATAAAACAGGCGGACATAGGTTCAAATCTCTCCTATCTTAGGTTGAAAATGGAAATCGGAAGTTACGTATATTGACAATTACTGTTAAAAGTAAAATCTCCTTCCACCAATTCCTGGTGCTTTCATTGGGTTATATTTACCAGATTTCTATTCAACCCATCCTGCTTAGCTTCTTAGCCCAGACAAAGTTAGCAGAATATACTGGAGCAAAATATACTGGGAAGTTAGAAAAAAATCCAGAAAATGGCAAATCTCTTCCATATTATTTCTAGGAAGACTATACAGTAATGCCCATAGTTACCAAGAGTTGAGGCAGACTTGAAGGAGACAGCTCTTATGCAATAATATTGTATTTTCCTTTAATGAACAATTATAAATAATGGGAAAAACATGATTTTATAATTTTATTTGTATACTGCTTTTTGGTTAAAATGTGCATTTCCCCCCCTTTTTGTCACAGTTGGTATAAGTGTGCATATGCCAGGCTAAGGCTGTTTTTGCTCCCTTATTTACTTCTGGCTCTGATGGTTGTTTGAGGGGCGCAATTTGGACTGTACTTTAGGGCCCAAATCTGCCCTTTATAGTGCAAATGCTTCAAACTGTGTCTACAGCCTAATGTTAGTTAGTCAGAGTTCGTGGGGGAAAAGATTGTCAAGACCATGATTTTTTCCCAGTTTTTTTTTTTAAATCAATGTTTGTCCCCAAGGATCAATTCAGAAGTAACACCTCTTGTGGACAGGACATATAAAGTCCATCCAACGGAAGCTTGCCTCAAATCCTGTACATGCTCCCCCTTTCATAAAGGACCACAGATTTACTCTAGAAGTGTTACATGCATGAAATAAGGTACTGTTGGTCTCTATCATTAACAGTTTTCTTCAAAAGCTTTCTCAGAATTGCATATTCTCTACTGTAAAGGATGCAAGCTTTAATTTTGCGGAGTAGCATATTTCTTTCGGGGAGATCTTTTGGGAGCTTCATGCCATTGGAGGGTGTGACCAAAGCCGAAAGTTGGCAGGAGCACCCATTTCCTCTCTTTCTTCTTTACACTCACTGCCATTCTTTCTCTCTGAACCAGTGTGCACATCACACTAAGCTTTATTGTGGTTGGCTTCGTTTTGGTGTACAGCATTGTGTAAACCCAGCTGTTATGGTTTATAAACTATACATTGAAACAATCCATGCCCTGGTGTGATGTGTGAACTCAGCCTTTCTCTTTTGGACATCCCATTCCCCCCACCCCACCCCCATTGTTCTTTTTTACTTCCTTCCCACCCAGCACGCTGCTGGAGAAGAGACTAATAGCTCTTGCCAGAGATCTGTACTAATTGTTTGCAGAGGACTTTTGAAATTAGTTTGAGGATGAAATTAGACTGGTTGCCCACTCTTGCTCTGTTTGGCTGTCCTACCTGCTTAATTGCTATAACATAAATCTTGAGGAGAACTTTGCTGCATCAGACTGTTGGTCTGATTCCTTTTGTCTGCATTCTCTTCCTAGCAGTGGCCTTCTGGGAAACTGACAGTTCTTTTCCTTCCCTGTTGATGATCCCTCAGAGTCAGCTATTTGGAGGCTTCCTGCCACTTCATGAGCAATAGCTCAATAGGAATCTCTGAACAGACGTTTCAGGGATCGCCACTTCTGAATGTCCTTTGAAATAGATTTCTTTTCTTTTTTACTTGACACTGCTAAGAATTAAGCGAAGTAATAGCAGTCACAATAAAATTGCTAGATGGAGGCATGTAGTTTTATGTGTTTTAGCTGTCACAGGAGTTCTCTTTTGACCAGACTTGTATAATGATGCCAGTAGCTGGAGGGATCTACACACCCATTGGCTTAAATAGTGCCTGTCCCATTCTTTGTAAAGCAGAAAGTCAGTAAGAATTCCCACAAGAAGTCAGCTCAAATGAACAAAAGATGGGAGGATAAGGGAGTGGCTGATGCACTAATGCAGGGTTCTGGCTGGGGAATTCTGGGAGTGGAAGTCCACCCGTCTTAAAGTTGCCAAGGTTGAAGAACCCTGCCCTAATGGAATCAAGAAGCTGCCAGTCTCCTTATTGCCAATTCCACCCATAGGTTTCAAAATCTTGACTTGTTAGGAGGCAAATTTGAGAGGCTGCTTTGTTATGGTTCTATAAATCATCAAGTTTTAATAAAAGGCTAGATTTGGATTACACGGTAGGAATGGGGAGAGAGGAAGGATCCTATAGTGGGCATCCACAAGTCCAGAGCACATAATGGAAATCTTCACTAATTATGGCTCTTTCATTACATTATTGTAGAGGTGCCTCCATGCAAGGAAGGAACATGTTCTGAGATGTATTAAGAATAGCTCCTGATCAGCTGGATGTGCTGATTCAAAGTGCTTGGAAGATGCTTGCTAACTGCAGTTACTGGGAGTGAAATGTGGCTCACTGGATCAGGTGCAGGATGGGAGACACTAGGATTTAGTATCAGACTGAGCATGTTGATATCAGATAGGTTACAAATCATGTAGAAAACTGAAGTGAGGTATCTGATTTAAGAAATGTATTTCTGTAAACTGGGGAGAGAAGCTGGGGAGAGATGAGCTACTGTAGAATTGAATAATTGATTTTTTTTTCATCCAAGTACACTGTCAGAGACAGACAGGTTCAGTTCCTCAGCCTGAAACTTAGAGGGTTTCTCTCGGCCAGTCATTGTCTTTCTCTCCAACAGCGAACCTCTCAGGGTTGCTGTGAGGATAGAATAGGAAGGAGAGAACACTGCACATAATTTTGAATAAAAGATATCATTAAAATGTACTAAATATTAAAAAAAAATATTCGTTCCAAGTTGGATTCCCCCTCCTTCTGCTGCTTTTTTGTGATCATGGCAAATTCGGCTTTAAGTAGATCTAGTTGTGGTTGGCCCATCTAGCTTAGTGTCAAGGGAATCTGAGTAGTCACCAAAGAATAAGAATATATTTGTTCTATGTAAAGGATTGTCTGTAAAATTATCCAGAAAGGCCAAGAAAAGGCTCCTAATAAAGGCTTTGTAAGTTGTTTCAGTCACTTTTTGGGCAATCTGTCAAGTGAGTAGAAGTTTCTTCTACTATAGCTTTCTTTTTGTCTTCATAGGGCAGGTTTGGACTCTGTTAGTCTTGCTTTAATAACTGAACCCTATCTATGTTTGTATAGGCAATGTATAGTTTTCTGATGCCTATCCATCCTAACCAGCACGGCTAATGCGAAGTTTGATAGGATCTCCAGCAGCACCTCCAAATAAGCACACCCTTGCAGTGCATCTGGAACTTAGTTGAGATATGAAAATGCCAATTTGTTATACTTCTGTTAAAAATAATTATGTATCAGTTATTTTGTCCACACTGTTGCAACCTGATCCCAATGCAATAACATAAACCCAGTGACTGGAATTCATATATTATGAATGGTTTGCCTAATCACAGTTTATTGAATAAACCACAATTGGATGGATGTATTTTAAAATACAGTTGGCTGAGCTCACACAGGATAGTAAACCAAAGCCAAGCAAATTAGAATGATGTGTAAACCAAGTGGAGTAACTTTCCACAATTATCTACAAGGGACAGGCAGATATTGAGATCCTTCTTCTGTATGGCTTCAGCAGGTTACAGTGCTAGCTAACCTTGGGTGATCTCAGAAACTAAGCAGTTCTACCATGATATAGTACTTGAATGGGGGACTGTACAGGAATCCCAAAGCTGCACATCAGACCAGGAAGTTAAAAAAAAAAAAAAAAAAGGATATATCTGTATCTGTAATACTGCCAAGAAGACTGAATTGTTGCAGTCACTAAGAGTCAAGAACAACTTGAGGGCATCTTTTCCATTTTAAACAAAAAATATCATTCATCACTTGGAGCTTCCGACCTGGACTAGGCATGACATTTGCTCTAGCTTCTAGCAGTTTCCAATTCCTGCCTATTTCATCTGTATTATATAACAAAACCCTAAACATAAAATTGTGTCCCTGTTCTAACATCCTCCTCCCTTGTTTGTTTGTTTGTTTGTTTGTTCGGTCATTCATTCATTCATTCATTCATTCATTCATTCATTCATTCATTCATTCATT